GTAGAGGCCATCGGGAGTTATGAATGCTGTTTTTTCCCTGTCACGTTCATCGACCTCAATCTGCCAGTAGCCGCTGCGTAAATCCATTGAGGAAAAATATCGGGCATGTCGAAGTCGATCCAGTGAATCATCTATGCGCGGGAGAGGGTAAACGTCTCTCTTCGTCACTTTGTTGAGCTTCCGGTAATCGACGCAAAATCGAAGAGTGCCGTCTTTCTTTTTAACAAGTACGACGGGTGACGCCCATGGACTGTTCGAGGGTTGGATGACGTCGTCGTCGAGCATCTGTTTCACTTGAAAACGTATTGCCTCTTGTTCTTTTTGCGACACGCGGTAGGCGTGCTGTCGTACAGGCCGTTCGGTAGGGTCCGTTATAATGCGGTGCTTCACGGTTGGGGTCTGCTTGATTTTGGAGGTGGACGCAAAGCAATCACTATACGTACGTAAAATCATGCATATCTGCTGTTGCTGCGCACCGGATAGCTGGCAATTCACGTTAACCGTACTGGATAATGCAGTGTTACCTTTGGCAGCAATGGTAATCGGAGCGATAGTGGAACATTCTTCGTCATCGATGGCTTCAAAGTTCGCGATTGCTGTTCGCTTTGCCAAGTGTTGGTACTGGCCGCCGAAATTCGTGATCAGAAGCTGAGTCCTACGATGTTTCAGTTTGACGATAGCACGCGCGACACAAATCTGCCGAGCCAAGAGCACCGAGAGGTTAGTTTCCGCGATGCCACTACTCTTGTTGTCACAGTCGCTCTCCACAGTTACCAACATACTGGCTCGCGGCGGCAGTGCGATGGTGTCGTCAGCAATTCGAAGTGTTGTGGTCGGCGCAACTGCATCCTTTCGTAGGGCTGTATGGTCGTTAGATAAGGTTATGAGCATGTCGCGAAGGTTAATAATGGCTCCATACTCGCGGAGAAAATTCATTCCGAAAATCAGGTTTTGGGAGCATTCGCGCAATACAACGAAGAAAAAAATGTACGTCGACTCACGAATTCGGAGGCGGGCAGTGCACATTCCTAGCGGTGTCAATAGGTGACCTCCCGCAGTCCGGAGGTTGGTTCCATGTCACCAAGGTGTCGTTACCTTTTTTAGCTGTGCTGCGAGGTCAGCGCTTATAACAGAATAATCGGCACCCGTATCTACCAGAGCGGTCAGCGGGTGGTTGTCGACAAGGACAGAGATACGAGCAGAGACCCGTTTGTCGTCGATGGCACACGTCGGTGAAAGAATGTCGTCGGATGTCGGCAGGCAAATCGGGGGAGGGTCTTGTAACGGTCGATAAACAGCGGCTTCACCCCCAGAGGTTGCTGTTCTTAGTTTCTTCGGCGCGGGCTTGTGGATCTAGGTGATCTTCCTGCAAGGACGTCCGCAAAGGTCGATTGTTGGCCAGGCGACGTGGAACGCCGTGGAGTTGGTGAGCGGGATTGGCGACGCGGAAGGGTTGAGGATCGTTGGCTTGCCAAGTATTCGCCGATAGCACGGGGCCGCTCACCATCTTTGGGTCGACGAGCATCCGGACGAAAGCCAGGAAGACCCATGTGCCTGTAGGCGCACTCACGGTAGATGTGACATGGTTCACCACAGTGATAACATAGAGGCCGGTTGTCGGGAGCACGCCATACACTGGATTTCCGTGTAAGAGGTGGGTTGCCGTACTGCGGTGGTGCCGAGTAGAACGACGGTGCCGTCTGCAGGGTGGACGGACGGGACGGATAGCCAACAGCCGGTGCAGGAGTACGTAGTGCTTCCGCGTACGTTAATATCGGAGCTTCGGCTAGACGCGGGGCCGTCATGGGTTGGACTTCGGCTGCACGCAGAGTCGTCATGGGGTGCACCAGCTGCCGGACCTCTTCGCGAACGACATCCGTTAGAGCAGCAACATGGGGCGGAGAAAACACCACGTGCAGCTTTTGCAGCTCCTCGCGCACAATACTGCGCACGAGCTCCGTCAGGTCTTTTACAGTCATGACGTCAGGTGTTGGCAGGGCCGACGACACTGACGAAAGACTGCCAGGACGCTCATACTGGTACGAACGCTGCCTTAGCATTCTCTCTATTGTCGTGGCTTCGCGGAGGAAATCCTCTACAGTGCTGGGAGGGTTCCGCACTAGTCCCGCGAACAGTTGCTCTTTCACTCCCCGCATTAGGAGGCGCACCTTCTTCTCTTCCGTCATTGAGGAGTCGGCTCGCCTGAACAGCCGCGACATGTCCTCAACGAACATGGCAACACTCTCGTTCGAACGCTGGTTTCGGGAATTGAGGAGCCGCTCCGCTTGCTCCTTTTGGTCAGAGCTTTGGAAGGTATTTCGCAACTGGCTGCAAAACTCTGGCCAGGTTGTCATAGTGGCTTCATGGTTTTCGAACCAAGTGCGCGCAGAGTCCTCGAAATAAAAGTAGACATACCGAAGCTTTCGCTGCTCGTTCCACTCGTTGACGCTGCCGCAACGGTTGTAGTCGTCAAGCCAGTCGTCGACGACCTCGTAAGGGTCACCGTGGAACGGCTTCGGAGTTCGCGGGACGTTGAAGAACCATGGAGGAGGCAGCGTTGATGTTTCTTGGATTTGCGTTCCCGCACTAGCCATAGTACTGCCGAGTTGTGGAAATGGTCCTAATTCAGGAGGTAGGCCTAGTTGTCGCCTGCTACGCCGTCGGTCAGCTGGTTCTTCCAAGTCGCGACTAGTGTCTGGACCTTGCTGCTGATTGCAGTGCATACAACACCACCCAGCACCTCCACCAGAAAATGTCACGTGATCACAGAACGACCACAACGTCCGTTCACAGAAGCAGCACTGGACGTCGAGCCGAACCGAACGTTAGAGCACGAGCACACCAACCGTCCTCTTCTTCTTTCACACCATGGCACATACTCGCATTGGCATGGCTAAACCTCGTTCCATGCCTGTGGCAATATATATATATATATATATATATATATATATATATATATATATATATATATATGCGGGCAGATGAGGTGATTAAGAAGTTTGCGGGTGTAAATTAGCAGCAGCCGTAAGCACAGGACTGAGTTAACTGGCGGAACATGGTAGAGGCCTTTGTCCTGCAGTGGGCGTAGTCAAGCTGATGATGATGATGATATATAGCGGTGGCGGCAGCGGACAAGTACGGCGCTGCGCGTGACCGGAGTTGTGGTCATATAACAGCTTTCGCTGTATTAAAGATCAATGAGCTACCGCTAACACCACCACTTTTAATGCGTTATACGGCCCGAACTTGACGAACACAGCGGTCAGCATGTGTATCTGACTTAAACAAAAAAGAAACTAAGGCTCCTTAATTCCTTCCTCCCGCTGTATTGGCCGCCCTTACTTCAACGACCTTCTACTTAGTAAACTATAGCGGTTCAGGCTTGTTGGTTTCCCGTTTTGCTAAAGTGGCCTGGGGTGAAGCAGGAGAAAAACACATAAACAATGAAGACGAGCGCTTGCTTCCAGTTGAAAGTTTAGTGCTTCCCAGAAACGTACAAAAATCAAAAAGAAGAACCAACAAAACACGGAATGCGAAAAGAAACGCAGAAAGGCCTCCTTTCAATCACCGTGTGGTCACGCTGGCGTCCTTCAGAAATGCTTTGGAGAAAGAAGTATCGTTGATGGCACACGGCACCACACACCAAAGTCTTTGGGTGGTTTGTGGCTTCCGCGATAAGCTGCGGTTTTTTCAAATGGGCGCTGCAAGAAAAGAGGGAAAAAACGAAAGAAAAAAAAACACTGCTAGTTAGATTGGCATAAAGGAACACATTCTAAAAAATGACGCTTTCGTTTGGCGCCCGTTGTGCAGTATACAATGCTCCTCACAATAAAAATATCACTGGTGGATTTCAAAATGGCAGTGTAACATTGTTGGCAAGCTCAAGCATGCGATCATTTAAACACACTTCAGTTATGCCTGAAGGTGCGCAATGGGATACGGATAACACAGCGACCACCTCGCTTTCAAAAAAGGTAGGAGTCAGTTTAGCCCTCAGCAAAAATGTAGAAATGGTGGGTGCATATCTCGCCGCGGACTTCCCAGGTCACAGGAGTAAAAAGGCTTTTTGCCCGTAATGAACACGTCTCAGCTCATTTCCGAAATAAAAAAGGAACGAGAAACGCGTGTCCTGGTTATTATCGCGATACGGGCGATACATTGTAAAAGTACTTCACCACTGAGATACAAATAAACTTTTGCGAAGTACCTCGATACAGCAATACAGATATTCGAAAGTATCTCTGAAATAACATCATGATACCCTTGTATCGTGATACTACCCAGCTTTGCCAAACACAAGTATGCTATGTAAAAACTCTTGTATAACAATAACTTTAGTTAGTTAGTTAGTTAGTTAGTTAGTTAGTTAGTTAGTTAGTTAGTTAGTTAGTTAGTTAGTTAGTTAGTTAGTTAGTTAGTTAGTTAGTTAGTTAGTTAGTTAGTTAGTTAGTTAGTTAGTTAGTTAGTTAGTTAGTTAGTTAGTTAGTTAGTTGCGCGTTTTCGCAAACTGCTCACGAATGGGGCAAAAGGAGAGAGTGTCTCCTGACTTGGCCCACGCTTCGTGAGGCACCTTAGGCAGGTACAGTAAAACAGTACATAGAAATATTCAACACATACAATAAAATAATAAATAAACAAGGAGCACTGCAACAAGCGGAGCGCTGCAACAACGATATACAGTAAGTATTCCACCACCTCTGCAAGGGCACGTTTTATTTTAGTGTTATGCCGATTCCTCTAACGGTGGAATCATTCATGTTTTGTTTTTCTTTTTTAAGCCATGCGCACTGTGTACGTTTAGTGGATGGTTTTGGGCACAGATGTTTCGCATGTGCGATTCGACTAGGAACAATGACGAGCCTCGACGACACACGCAAGATGTTGTGTGACCTGCTCGGCCCCTAAAAGTGTTTTTCTAGATTTATTAAGCTTCATTGTAACAACGTTCCCTAGTTTTTCATCATTGAGGGACCAAGTGTCCTTTGATATTGATGTCGCAGATGCGCGGCCGTCCAACATTCTCCAGGAGGTGTTTGTGAAGATCTACGACAACGGCGTCTGCGACGCTGCCTACAGGCGCAAGTTCAAGATCCCTATTAAGAAGTGGCACTTGTGCGCCGGAACCCTAGTAGGCGGACGAGGAACATGTCACGTGAGGCACTCTTCATATTCTTCGCTTAATACATGAGCGTACGTTGTGGCAAGGACGCAAACGCACATGTGTCTTTTTCGTTTTGCATGCGATGCTTGTACTCATGATGATTGTACAGATAATTGCCTCGATCAGAGAATGAAAGCAGCTTTGTCAGAAGAAACTGTACGTGAAGTTATCTCGAACTGATTGTCCACAACACCACAGCTCGCAAGTGAAACACGAATAATTAAAAGAACATAAAGTTGTTGCGGTATTGTAGGTCTTGGTTCACTAGATGACACTAGACGACCGATTGTTCTTATTGTCTGCCGCTGAATGTCAATCTGCAGGGTGATTCGGGAGGTCCCCTGCAGTGCAAGCTGTTTGGCCGCTGGCACTTGACGGGTATCACGTCATTCGGCTCTGGCTGCGCCAAGAAAGGCTTCCCGGACGTGTACACGAAGGTGGCACACTACGTGGATTGGATCAAGGAAGTCATGCAGCGCCCCCACTAAGCAGTCATTGAAAGTGTGATGGACGCCAACTAGTGCCCCGCCAGAACGCCGCACCGATGAGACCTATCCGTCGCCGTGTGGTTCACAGTAGAGCCATTCACTGTTGTAGAAGACCAGGTCCTGCAACGGGGAGTGAAGGGGAGTACGTAAATGCGTTAACCCGATGTTCCTTTCTTCTTATGTGATCAACAGTGGAGACAGTAGACCTACCGGCCTAGTTTTCCTAATGTGTGAGTGCTGTGCACTAAGAATAATCCATGGAAGTACTGCCGTCCGGAGGCGGATGTGGGTGAGCGAATCGCCGATAGTCAGTGACTGGAAGCGTGGCCAGTGATGAAAGCCCAGCCAAGCCTCCAAATCGTAAGCCACTATCACAGCCTGTTGTTCTAAGTTCACAACAGCTTTTCTGGTCACGAAACTGCTGTTTCATATAAAACTAGTGGCGGCCACTGGGGACGCCACAGTATGAAATGGTGGCCACCCAACGGTGTGGCCACCGCAGGCGACGTATGTATTTATTTTTGCTGGCACGTCGTGGACGAAAGATTCACTCCTTTTAGACAGCATTTGTATTTTCTTTTGCCGTAGCGAATATACGAATTAAGCTTTGAACTTTGAGGTTGTTTTCGTAACGAAAACAAGGCGCATACAAAATGTAAACAATGTTATGTTCAGCTGGCAGCTCAGTGTGCAAGCAGTCGAGATGCAGGTCACTTACTTGATACTGCAAAATTTTTTGTTTAGTTTGTTCAACAGGCGTCACATAAACAAAAGGTGATCTGAGCGTGATGCGTTATACAGAGAATAGGATATCAGGGGCATTAACGTTGACAGTCCCAAAGCCTAAGCTCAAGGTCAAGAACGATTATTTCCCGAACTTCTGTTCGCATGCGCGTGGATTCAGTAGTAGTGACTAGCTATTTTTACGTAACAGAAAATGTTCCAGAGTGTGAGTTCGCGTTTCCCTGCAATAATTTTGAAATGCATACATTGGCAGATTGTAACCATCACTGGAACCCTTTCCTTAGTGTAAATGTCGTTTTCAGGCCTTGACAACGTTGCTAGTTTTCATGCATATTAATCAAATCGTACCAGACCATTTCCTAATGTGTTTTCGATTCGAACATCTCCTAAGCAAACCGCATGAAATAATATGTCCTCCAATTCAGAATCGCGCTTCTTAAATTTTATCTCGTACGAGCAGGGTAACAAAGATTAACGATCGACTGCATTCAGTCCCATACTTCCTTGGCGAATCAAGACACTTAATCAAATTGCAACCTCGATCTTTTTTATTAAAAAAACGAGTACGTCCAGATGCTTATCATGTACATAAAAGAAACAATTTTTACCTTCACTGATCAGTGCAATAGTGTAGAATTCAAAAGACGTCTTAACGAAATATTGACACAAAAATCTTGCATCTAGTTTTTTTTTGTTATTGCTGTTACAATATGTAGCTAATGGTCAGTTTATCACGGTTGTAGACACCCTTCGCACACGATGGCTGTTTAAATTGTTTGAGTAGTTTAAGCGAATTTCAAACTACTAGTGGCCATTATTGTTGACTTCCGATTCTTGAAGTAGGCTGCCAGGCCGTCGAACACAGAAGAACTTGTGTTGAATGTAAGGTACGGCAATTGTTTGTCGGCCTCGATTTGGTGCTGCGTTTATCGGGAAATCATTCGCGTGAATAATGTCCCATGAATGAAAGTGCTTCGCACACACACACGCAGATACTTCGAATCAATGCTGAAGTCGTTCGCTTTTTGCTACGTTAAACTCGCATCGAGTTCTCTAACTTTCCACGAACATTTAGCATTCAAACAAAAAACACCACCTTTTTAATGTCCTTAAACAGCACCCTGGTACGCAGCACCTAAACAGCATCGTCCCGCGAACGTGCAGCTTCAACTGTGCAGTACCTTAACTTGACCCTTATTCAAAAAGCAATCACATATATTGAGTACACGTGCGAACTTACGGCTCGCGGCAGCTGCATATGCAGACTCGGCGTAATCAACCTAGAGGACCGGAGAAGCGTGCCCTCATGCGTGGCAGCTTTCGGTCCCATATCAAGCTACCCCAGGGCGTTTCGTGGCCAGAAAGAGTATTGAATGACTGTGGACCTAGGGAACCTCTTACCTTTAGGTTGTTAAATTCCATGCTATAGAGCCTAAGGCTGATAATACTCCTTATTGGCAGATTGTTACAGCTTCGGTTCTTTAAGGGATCAGCGAAAACTACTTTTCACACCTCGGCCAAATTGTTTTCCAGTGCTCGTGTAGCTGTAAAAGAGTAGAGCAGCTTAGGTTTCCCGAATGAGACGAGATACAAACGGAGAGCCCGCTTTTTCAGTTGTTGTCACGGTGCAAGAATACTTTAGGTGAGTGAACGCCGTGAAGCGAGCGCTTGGCTGGGAGGGACCTATCGTGTTCTCGTGTGTGGCACGCCGATAGATGGCTCGCTGGACTGAGAACCGTGGCAGGCCTGCTGGCGAATTTCGCAAAGCACATCCGGCACGTGAACGACGGTTTTCAAATCAGCAAAAATCGGGTAATCGTGCGATATCAACCGCGTGACATACATAGAGCGGTGTCGCGAAAGAGGGGTGAAAGGAAGGAGGTTGACAGTGCGGCTACGGTGTTGTGGCAACGATAAATGAGCACTACTTTCCTCCGTCGCGGAGCTTTCCTACACCGAGAGGTATACGGAGTGGAAACCGGGGCAAAGTTTGTAGCGCCATCTCCCAGGCTTCTAGCGAAGCCGAACATTATCGGGCAGCGGATAGTCCCGGCGTTTGCTCACCTAAAGTATTCTTGCACCGTGGTTGTTGTGTATACGTACATACAGTGGCATCAACACTTTTTTTTTTCATAAGCGGTAGTTTTATTTTCTAGGTTGTATAAACTTCCACTGTGCATGAAAAAAAATAATTACAACGTTATATCACATGATCACATGCCTCCTTAATTTGTCTGCTTCTCCAATCGGTGGACATCTGTTGGTCGCGTTTCGATGGAGGCGAAATGTACAGGCCCCTGCACAATGTCATGTCAGTGCGCGATAACGAACACCAGGTAGTCAAAATTTTTTTGAGCCCTCTACTACGGCAATTCTCATAAATATATCGTGGTTGTGGGACGGAAAATACTAAATATTCTTAATATTTGTTTGACATGCTTTCGCGCGCATACGATGCCCGTTACCTTATCTAGCTTGTGCAATAGATCGCTCGTCCAAGCTGACAATGTGTCACCTTGCTTTGCATGCCCTTCAATCTGCACTACTGCTTGCGCACTCAGCACTGTCTGAAGATATTTTCCTCGTTAACACTGCGAATGAGCTTTGCGTTCATAATGCGTTGTTGATTGTGCGTGTAAGCGCAGCAGTGACTCTTTCCGAAGTCGTTCTTACGTGTTGAAAAGTGCACCACGAGAAAACTAATGGCATCTTCGGGAAAGCGCACCAACCGTCTTCGGTAACCAGGGCGCGCCCCGTCGAGCACTTTGTTTTTGTTGTTCCGAGGTGCTCCGAAAAAATCGGTGGAGCGACGCTGTGCAATCCCAACATTTGTTGCGTGCCACGCGCGTAGCAGACGATCAGCAGACGAAGCGCAACGGCTAGTATTCTATTTGCCCCTCCACAGAACCGGGGCGTTCGGCCCCTTTTTGGTTTTGGGAAAATTCTAGACTGCTCCACGACTGCTCGCCCCGCCGCGGTGGTCTACTGGCTAAGGTACTCGGCTGCTGACCCGCAGGTCGTGGGTTCGAAACCCGGCTGTGGCGGCTGCATTTCTGATGGAGGCGGAAATGTTGTAGGCCCGTGTGTTCAGATTTGGGGGCACGTTAAAGAACCCCAGGTGGTCAAAATCTCCGCAGCCCTCCACTACGGCGTCTCTCATAATCATATGGTGGTTTTGGGACGTTAAACCCCACAAATCAATCCACGACTGCTCCGGGGCACAATTTTCGAACATGCTGTAAGACACAAGAAGAAGAATCACACTTTACGGCACTGTCTAAAACCTGACAGCATTAGACATCACTAGCACCATTTTTACTACGGTCGCGTGTTCTCGCATCATTGACAGCATGACAATGCGCTCACAAAGGTGAAGGAAGGTTGCAAAAGATTAAAAAAGTGACTACATCTACTATCTTTCTGCATGCAAACTATGGCCAACAGCCACGCATTATGAAATCATCGGCAGCCGATTTAGGTGTTTGCGGACATGAAAAAAGGGCACAGAAAACTTTTACGAGGTAATCGCAAGTACAATCTCTTGCTACGTTATGTCACAACCTAAGAAAGAGATTCAATTTCCATAGAGTGCTTCTGGGTGTATGCTTACACATCAACTCCTTAGATGCCGCTGTGGTATGCGTGTTTTTCATACTTATTTTCTTTTCTAATTATACATTTCAACATGTATACCGAAATACAACTTGCCCAAATGTGAATCTTACTGTGTTTCTTGCGCGCCTAATCAAGAAATAGTAAACCAAAGTGCATTATTCATAGAGAAATCAGAAATATTGTCGTTATTCAAGTCGTCAGGAGTTTAAAGTACCGGTACTTCGGTGAGCAGGTGGTCGAATAATACAGGTAGTGTGCAGCAGGAGAATGTTGCATGAAATTTCTCCTGTCGCAAACGCATTCGTTTACTTTGTGTCATTGATATATCAATATGTGGAAATGAATGAATGATATGAATTTTATTTGGGCCAGGCTCTTTGTATTTCAGCCCTAAGGTGGGTGGCCTCCTCAGTTAGTCAGGTAGCCATTGTTCGCTACCGCCACTCGAGCCCGGTTCACCAATCCTAGCTGGTTGTCGGGGTCTTGCATCACCAGCGAAACCTCCCACTGGTCTTCGAATCCTTCCTCTTTATCCGTTTCTTTTTGTTTGCGTTTGAACTTGGCAGTGCCGACGGCGGTATGTCCGAATTGTGGAGACACTCCAGCACCATGTGGCGCAGAGTGTTGCGCGTGTCTGGAGGCCAAAACCTGCAGTCCCGCCTGAACGTTCCTGTATACATAGCGTGCATCAATGTTCCATGCGG